GCGGCCCCGCTGCGAGAGCGTCGGGCCAGGGACACGGGCGATGCCCGCGCGCAGCCGCGCCCCCTGTTTCCGTGGAGCAAGTGGAAGAAGAGGATGGGCTCGTCCATGTCGGCGGCCACCGCGCGGAGGCCGGTGTTTGACGACAAGGAGGACGGTGAGAACGGCCGCGGCGGAGACTCCGGGCCGCTCGCGGGGACAGCGTTGGGACCCGCGCCGTCTGGGGACTCCGCACGCTCTCGCAGCGGGGCCGCGGCGGGAGGATTTCTGCGGGTCGGGGCACCAAGGCCTCCCGGTGGGAAGGCGTCAGGGGCGTCTCGGTTTCCGAGGAAACTCGCGAACGGTGCTTGCGATGCCCACGCGTGTCTTCCGTGTCCAGTGGCGGCGCGACGGGTGGAGTAGGCCGGCCGTCCCTGCGGGGTGAGGGTCTGCGGTCGGTAGGCGCGAAGGCCCCCGCAGTAGCGAGGGCGCTGTGTTTGCATTTTCCTTTTCTGCGAGGTGTGAGCGCTCGGTTGTTACTCTGCACGTGAGGTGTGCCGAGTTTGCGAAGGGAGATGCCTGCCCCACAGGTGGCGCGGGGGCCCGGCCCTCGGAGCTCAGTGTAGGTGACGGCGCCGCGTGGCTGCCGGCGTGCCTACCTTTGCACTCAGACGTGCGGTGGAGTCTTGCCTTTGTGCAAAGACCTGCCCTTTTGGGAACTAGTTTGCCCTCAGGTCCCCCTGCAGGTAAAGCTAGTGACCCGGAGGTGGGCGCTGGTGGAAAGCAGGAAAGACCTGCAGGCACGCCTCCTGGAGCCCTGCCTGACAACGGCCCTTTCACTTAGCACCCTCGGGAAAGGTGGCTGTGCAGTGTCCGCCCCTGGGGCACTGTGATACTTTCACAGGCAGACATACAGCTCTTCTCTGCAGATGTCATGCAGATAAGTTAAATGCTACAAGATGACACATTTGATGTTTTTTTGACATTTTCTTAAAATAGTCGAAATATGCATTTTTCGTTTGTAGGCAGCCTGCAGAAGTAGGGTGGATCTTTTATAATTTCAGAGCACAGCTCAGCGAAAGAGCCCAAGCTATTTATTTCTGATACATAATTTAAGCATTATAGGAAATTACAATAATGCGACCTCAGGCCAGTGTTGGAGAATGTGCAGGCCATGTGGGCAGTCCTCACAGACAGCGATGCAGAGCCTGTTGCTCAGGGGGGCCTGGGCTCTGATGAGCCTGGCCCCGGTCATCGGGGAGGGGCATGGTGCCTGGACTTGCTGGAGGGGCATCCGGGACCAGCCACGCCCACTCAGTGTGTTCTGGGGAGACCTGTCTTCGTGTTCTAACTTTGGAACACAGCTCACTGCTGGGAGTGCTTCCTATGTTATATGTTTTTGTTTTGAGAGTAAATATTCAAAGTGAAGAAAGCCCAGAGTGAATTAGGAACTAATCAGGAAGGAGATTTGCATCTAGCTTCTGGCTGCACGATGAGAAAACGTCTGAGAAATCCATCAGATGTCTGATTTCAGTACTCGCTGGTGGCAGCTGAGAGCTGGCCACTCTTTCATGTCCTAGCATTATGCTCCCCAGGGCAGGTGGTGTAGAAAGAGAGAAATTGAGGTAGCACAGTGGCTGCCTTCAGCTTTGAAAGGTAGAATTTTGTTCACAGTGTTCACAGTGTGTTATGTCTCAGGATCCAGGGATCGTTAAGGAGGAGCCAAGAGCACAGAATCCAGCTGTGCTGCGCGCGATCGGATTTGAGAATTATCTAACACGACCCCCTTCTCCCCACCCCTGTCCCCGTTTGCCTGAAGCAGGACGGCAGAGGTGCCGGCTCTTCTGGTCTCGTGAAGGTGGGCTGTTGGCTCGGCTACAGGTGCTCGCTCTTTAGCACATGTGCCCGTCAATCACCTGCTCATCCCTGGGCATGGTGGCCACATCTCCAAACTGAACACAGCACGAGACTTGCCTGGGCTTTGTTTGGTAAGATTAGGATGCCAAGCCTGGCCCTGGTCCAATGGCCGTGGATGTGATCCAGGTGGGCGGCCACTTTGTTCCACTTTTATTCCATGTTTTCACGTTATCGTCAGGGCGCACACGACTTGGGAATCACAGTAGGTGTTTGCAGAGAGAATGTTGTGCAGCTCTTGGCCTGAAGCCTGTGGGTTTATTTAGGCAGAAGCAGTGGGGTTTGGAAAGGCGGAAGGCCAGTCTTTCAAGAGGAGAAAGGCTGCACCCCACCTTTCTTTCAGGGTGTGAAGACGTCCCCCCAGACAGGGAGGGTCCCACACTTCCTCAGCCCCGTGCAGGGTGAGCCGAAAGAGGTGATAGAGCTGTGCTGAGGACGTGCATTTACTGGGACTGCATGGTTGCCATGGCAATGTGAGACCTTCTGGTGAATTTTTTAGATTAAAATACCCAATTAATATATCAGATTTGGTATGCAGAGAAAAGGAAAAGAGAAAATAAGAGCGCAATTTAACAGAATGCCAGGTAGATTCCAACTACAAAGTGGAGTTATGACACGTGGGATCTTAAACGTCCCCCTTCCCTGTTAACCCTGAGGTGTCTGAGCCACTGTCCTTACTTGGCAGGTGTTGGGTGCTTGTTCAGAATTCTCTGGGCTTCCTCCTCACACCGGAACCAAGGGTCCCCTTTCCTCTTCCCGAAACCCCATGCCTCCTCCCGTGCGACCCCTCTTGGGCTTCAGGAGCAGTTGATTTAGGGGTTGACCTTGCTCGGGACCTGCCCCAGTGCTGCGGGGTGCTGGGCAGGCCCCTTCATTCCTCTCGTCTGGGTGTCCCCACGAGGGTGCTGAGTGGGGTTCCATCACTTTCTGCTGAGCAGCTCAGTAACTGGTAACTGGGGGGCACCCGCCGTTCTCAGCAGTCTGGCTAGTCTCAAACCTAACATGGTATTAGCTTGCTAGTGGGGGGCAACTAATCACCGAGAAGGCTTGCCTTTGCCCAGAGAACTGGAAATAAGGGAGCCCTCGAGGGCTGAAACGCCTGGCCTGGGTGTGTTGGGTGGGGTGGGCAGTAAGGCGGGACACGGGGCTACCAGAGTCTTATAACCTTTTCCAAAATTTATAAAACCTTTGTTTTTTTTAATTAAGAAGCATTAAAGTGTATAAATTTGTAAAAGAGTTTAAGACTTTGCTAAAATTATTCTATATAGGAAAACCAAGACATCGGTAATTTCAGCACTGAGACCTATTAGCGTGCCTCTGCCCCAGCCTTTTTCTGGGAATGTACTCACACATCAGCCACAGAGCAACACTCTTTATGTCTTTGATACAGAAATGGGATCATGCTCCAAATACGGTTTGTCTCAACCTGCGTCTTTTACTTAGCGATGTGTCATGGCCGTCTATAGATCTGCAGCGTCCTTTGTTGGCTAAATTTACAATAGTGGTTCTCAACCCTGTGAACTAGACTCGGAGGATGCTCTTAAAAACTGTGGAAATTCAGATTGAGTTTGTTGGGGTGGAGTTGGGGGGCGCTGGGGCTCAGGCACCAGGACATAAACAGTTGACCAGTGAGCATCCTTGTATGTTCATCTTTGTACACTTGACATTATTCCCTCAGGATAACTCCTGGGAATGACATTGACGAGTCAGAAGCGTGTGCACGGAGTGTGGCTTGGTGCCGCTGGCCAGCTCCCTTGGAGATGGGCAGTCCCAGCACAAGACATGGCTGTCCTGGACGGTTGTTACGTGGCGGTGGCCAAAAGGATGGGGCTGCTGCAGGTGTGGGGTACCCAGACAAAGGAGGAGGTGGGGAGACCAGTAGCAGACGAGGAAACATGAATAAATGTAGTGAAGGGCAGGAGGGGCCAGAGGAGAGAGGAAGAGGGGGGCCTGTGTCCGGTGCGGCTGGCCGGGAGGGAGATCCCATCTGCCTGCTCTCGGAGCGCATGCAAGTCCTCTCTCTCCGACCCTCACCGCCTCTGGGTGTTAGTGATGTCTGTGTTTTGACCGTCTGAAAGGTAAAAGGATTGTATTAGTGCTCCGAGTCTCTGATGACCAGTGAGGTTGGTAACGTGTTTCTTTGCATGTTGGGGGCGTTTGTGCTCTTCCTTCCTGAATTGCCAACTCCTACCCCTGACCTGTGCTCCCTGTTGGGATGTTTGCTGCCCGGTTTCTTTCCACGGTTCCCGGTATACAACGGCACATGCCCTGGAGCAGTCATTTATCTTTCTACGTTGCTAGTTTTCTTCCGTGTGGATGTGCTTAGTTTTTGTGTGGTCAGATTCGTCAAGATCTTCCTTTCTGGCAGTTTCTGGCCTTGGTGCCCTGTTAACACCAAGCACAAGTGATACTCACCCAATTTATAAACCTGCACCTGCACTTTCTTCTAGTACTTCTGTGGTTTCACTTTTCATGTTGCAGATTTTGGTCGGTTTGGACTCACGCTGGCCACCGTGAGAACGGTTTCCTCCCGTGGGTCCTGCTCTTGCTTAGGCTGGGCACATTCACTGCCTGTTTCTGTCGAATTGTGAACGAGATC